GGATGCATTTGTACCACAAAGTTATGACATGGTCAGTGCTCACTTCTAACTCAACCTAATCCTCTTGAAGACATGCCTCCCTCTGCTCTGTTTTAAATCAAGAACATTTTCTTTGATTTACAGTTAAAACAAATCAAACTTCCATCCAGGTACACACACACACAAAGGTGAAAGAGCGATTGGGCACATCATTTGAAATACTGATCAAGCAATTGAATGTCATTTGGAGAGACGGTAAAAAAATGAGAAAGGCCCACGTGCCTTGTTTAGTGAAACAGACCCCTGCAGCAGGACACACAGGTTGTACACTTGCATGACAAACTCACTTCCCCTTCCAACAGAAAGCAAATAATAAATTTTGCATTTCTAAAATATGTCTGTTCGCACTTTGCCCGGAAACTTCTTATATTGCCACAGAACAATCCAACAGTGTCAAACTGGAGCTTTCTCAGGGAACACCATTCTGCTCAATGTTATTTTTGTTAACCTTCTCCGGTTATTTGTACACCAGAAATTTTGAAGTCACTGTTAGGACTTTTTAAAGGCGTATGGCCGAGGGAGCTGATGATGTGCTGCCCGGTCACATGCACAGCTCCCATTTTCCCCATACGCTACTCTGTACAACTCTGCTTACCCTGTTTTCACAGCTGCCTCATCCATCATCTCCCACACCCTTCCTGGGGTTTCCACCTTGCTTATCTCTCCAACATTGTGCTTCCCGAGGCGTAGGCAGGACCTGGTGTAATGGGAGGACCGAAGAGGTGAGAGAAGCCAGGATGGGGGACAGGGGGGCTGGTGAGTTGTTCGAGAGAAAATTGAAGCAGACTCTGAAACTCAACTCTTCTGTCCTTTACAGACTACAATTGTTTGTGCTATACTGGGGGCATGACTTTTCTTAAATCAAAATCCCAGAAGTGACCTGCCTCAAAGACGACTTTGTTGCAATTTGGAGTTTGTGGTTGTTTAGGCTGAGGAACAAAATTACTTCAGACTACTGCAGGCTGTGGCTAACCAAAGCAGAGCTGACAAGTCGACGGTGGTGCTGTGGTTGTGGAGACTGAGGCAACCTCAGTGGCTGTAGTTTATGCACAAGTGTGTGCATCGGTATTTTCTCTGAAATAAGGATAGTTAGCACTGAGGGAGTGCTCCAAAGCTCTTCTGGAGCCATTGATCACGCACATTACAAAGCACATAGGAGCGTGTCAGCTTAAAAGAGTGCTGCTTGATGACCGGTGGAGTTGACCAAATCTCACCTTCCAAAGAAGCTAGAGATGAAAACAAGTAACGAAATGTGTGGCAGATAAGTTAAATGGGATAAGCCTGGAAAATGATAAACCTCATGCTTATCTTTAGAAAGCAGGGAAAGGAAGAGCCGGAGACTTATGGAACAAATAATCAAACTAGCTGCAAGGACAAATTGGACTTGTCAAGTACAAATTGTATTAAACCAGCGTAATTTCCTTCTATGACAGGATAACAGGCCTTGTGGATTAGGGAAGAAGGAATAGAGTGCATAAATCATGGCTTTGGGGAGACTCTTGTCACCGCTACGTGTGGAATCCCCATGAGCAAGTAAGGGAAATACAGTCTAGATAAGTCAGTCCAAAACCATTTTGAAGACTAAAGGGAATAATTAGTAGGTCGCTGTCACACTGGAGCATGTTTCAAGGGGGAATGTCCCAGAGGTCTGTCATGGACCTGGTAATACTGAGTGCTGAATATTCCTTCAGAGTAAATTCCAGTAACAGCACTGCTGATGAAATAAAGAGCATATTTGTTAAATTTGCAGAAGACACCAAGCTGAGAGAGCTGCAAACACTTTGAAAGGCAGAATTAGAATCCAGACTTTACCCGATATCTTGGAGAAGGTGATGAGAACAAAATACTGTGCAAGTTCATAAGGAAAAACCCTACACTCAGCAAGCAAAATCTGCACGCCAAAACCCACAAAACTGGGAATAGCTGAAAAGGCATAAAAGTCATGGAGAAGATCTGGAAGTTATAGTGAGTGTGAGTTAATGATATGGCAAAAAGGTAAACATTGTACTGGGCTGTATAAAAAAACGTATTTTGTCTGCAACGTACGTGAAGTTTTCTTCCTCTCCTCAGTGCGAGTGTGGGGTTCAGCTGGAGAACAGTGTCCAGTTTTGAACACTTGGAGCACTTAAAGAAAGATGCAGGTGAGGTAAGGTGGATCTGGCCATTTTCTTTATTCTCCTCTAGACTCTTTGGCAAGATTAAAGGAACCCGGCTTGCTTGATCTAAAGAAGAGAGAAATTAAAGCAGACATATTAACCATCTTCAGAAACATAAATAGCAAAGAGGGCAGGAATAACCTCAAAGAGGACAACAATAACCTGTCAACAAACAGAAAGGAGTCTACACTGCATTAGGAGAGATTTAGTTTAGATATTGGGAAATGTCTGAGAGCAAGAACAACAAGGCACTATTACGGGTTATGTAGGCAGATGTTGGCATCTTCATTGTTAGAGTTAGGATATGGTTAGCAAACATTGGTCAGGAAAGATTAGGTATAACTGATGAGTGGATAGATGGTCTTTCCAAGTCCCTTCCTGTTTACGATGACTCTATGTATGTGTTGGATTAAATATCAGTGTAATAAAAGAACCTCAAAACAGTCTTCAGCCACTGGATATAGGATTTCAGTATCAAAACATCAGTGTTGTAATTTCCTGTCCTCAGCAAAGTAGAGCGGGAACTGGCCCTTTGCATAGGCAGTGTAGGCATCTGGTTAAACTATCACATCACCGAGTCCAGCAAAACAGCACAGTCCTGCTCTCTGTGCTGCTAACTCCAGAGCCCAGAAAGCCGGGCTGGAGAGGGCAAGGTAGCCAGACTGAGCTTGTGCTGGGGTGAAGGACCCTTCCCAGGACATCATCTCTATCCTTTGGAAGAAGAGGGAGTGTCAATACCTTGGCTCCAGTTCAGCACTGTCCTTTTCTTTCCTTTTACTTTTCCTGAGGCAGGAGTAGAAATATGCTTGCATGTTGCTCACCCTGTTGAGAAGCCCGTGCCAGCTTTGCAGAAGAGGGAGATACCATTCCCAAAAACTTTCACTCTGACTTTCTCAACAGCCAGATTTTTAGCAATTCTTTGGCTAAAGTCACCTTTGTCTGGGGAATACAGACATCTCAGAAGAGAATTGTAGGATGTATGAAGTCCTTCCTTGTGATCATGTGTTATAAGTCAACTGGATTGTGAATTGAAGGTAACTGGATGCACTGACATAATGAGCTAAAGACCCATGTGACAATTAATAATTCTATCTAAATAAAGTTCTAATTCAATATTTTTGGTAATGTAACACTAAATGTAATAGAAGAGAAGAATGTCTTCTTTCTCAGCTTTTCACAGACGAGTTAGACTAACCCTGCAAACTCCTGCCTGCATGCTTAGCCTGACTTCAGCAGGGCTGTTGGCAAGTACGTGAATTTAAGCAGATGGACAGGCATGGATTTACAAGAGGCACTAGCTGGTGTCAGTACAGTAAAACCAACACATTCTTGTACCACGTGATGTCCCAACAGTCATATAACTGTACAGTCCCTTTGCAGTCCCCCATTTTGATCGGTTGCAGGTATGCAGAGGTGCAAGTCTTTGTAAGTACAGTAAACTTCTTTCTTGAAGTCTAGGATCACTGAGCGGTGAGCACCTCTTGTCGTTATAAGTGGAGGCTTTTCAACAGAGTTCCCGCCTGTCTTCTGGAGCCAGAAACATGGTAAATGTAATGCAATAATATGGGACTCCTCAAGACAGAGCTATCACAGCAAGGGCTAAAAAAGCAGCTGAACCTTCGTGGTTCCACTGGGCCCCTGGTGGAATCACAAGACAAAAAGTTCAAAGCCCAAATTGATTTTAGATTTTTGAAGGACCTATTTGGTGATTAAAGATTTCAGGTTTTCACAAAAGCTTTCAATAATCTTTCTAACATCAAAACTCTCTCAGAAAGATGGATGTATAATGGATCAATAAGAGGAATGATTTTTGCATTGCCAACCTGTTCTTTGCAGTCACATGTTAAAGATGAAGTGGAGATATTTTCTGTCAATCCACGGCTTTTGAGAAATTACTTAGCCTCCACTGAGTCACTTTTCTTTGCTGCTATCCTATCATTATTAATTATATATAAATAATATAGATGCTTCTCTCACACAAAAAGGAACCACAATAGCATGTTAAGGCTCTCCAGGCTTCAGTTCCAATCTTCTGTCACTTTCTGTGCTGTGTAAATAAATTCTGCTCCCCGTAAAGGCAAGGTTGAACACATACAGGTGGCAAATCAAAAATGGTCTGAGGTGCACACTTCTGGCTCTTGGACAGCATTTCAGCAGGCACAGATCTGCAGCCCACACTGAATGGCATGTGCTAAATTCCTAATCATGTTGTAGCTGTGATGGTCTACAGACATGACAGACACAGACTGCAGGAAGAAATGATGCCTTTTTTTTTTCTCTGGGAGCAACTGATATAGCTGGAAAAATAGCCAAGTTTTCAGGCACAAATTTCTCTGCAGATAGAGAAAGCTAGAAAACTTGTCTGTGTTTTTACAGCCGAATCAGCGGGTCTAACCAAAGACATCATCTCTCCTGACAGATTTGCCTCATGGCAGCCTGGACAGCAGGGCTCGTCAGTGCTTGCTGGTGGTGAGTGCCTGGGCTGCGCCGGCGCCTGCTGTGGGCGACTCCATGGGGACTGCGGTCCCCCGGACACGGTGGGAGAGGGACAGGGCAGGGAGGTGGCAGCAGGAGGTGAGAGAGGAGAGGAGAGGAGAGGAGAGGAGAGGAGAGGAGAGGAGAGGAAAAAACCTCACCATTTGCAAAGCCCACCTCTACTCTGCAAATCCCCATCAGGCTTTAATTTCCCCTCAGCCCTCAGGCACCCCAGCTTTGCCCCTAGTTTGGACAACGTCCCTGCCATCTTTATCCAACCAGCCTTCAGCCCCATTGCTCTTCTTCCATCTTTCCAGCAAGCCCACTCACCACCCCAGCAGCAGCGGTCGCCCAGCAGCCGCCGGCTCCGTGGGTACCCATTAGCAGCCATCGCTTGCCACAGACGCCAAAGATGAAAAAGGAGAAACGCCACAGCTCTTCACTGAGCGCAAGTTCAAAGCTCTTCTTTCCAGGGAAACGCTTAATGAATCAAAGTCTCAAACAGAAGAAATTATAGCAGAATAAATCATATCACTGCAAGATTGGTTCAAAAGTGCTAAGAGAGGCAACACAAAACATGAACATTCCTTCTTAACACTAAAATAAGGGATTTAATATTACAAAAGGAGTCTAAGGAACTATGTTTTAAAAGGGCAAAGGTTTTAAGTCACCTGCTACTTTTGCAGGCTTGGTGACTTCACCTTCTGAACAGTTAGCTCAAGTCCAGAAGTACTTCAGGTCCTGCATTAACTAGACTGTATTTCCACAAAATATGGCCTAAGTACCCTTTTTTTGACATCCTTTATATATTTACTTAGACTTGAAGTTGTGCTAAATGTGGAACTGCGAGATTTTTAAATGCTGAGTCAAGCTCATAATGAGGAAAATAACAGAGGTCATAAGAGGAAGAGTCCTTTCTGTAGTTCCTTTGCAGTAAAACCACTTATGGTAAAGACTGGGGGTAAATGGTAAAGAGAATATAGAACTGCTGTTTTGTGGTGTGGCTGTATGGGGGACGATGCAGCTGGTGCATACAGAGACCCTGTTTCACCCTGGAGCTGCTTCCACCTCTGCCTTTCCCTGTATGCTGGTCTGGGGTCATGGTGCCTGTACAAAAGCATCGATTTCTACAGCAAGCTGGTGTCCAGGGAGTGAGGCGTTTCACAAGGCGGTGCTGGTGCTCCAGCAGCCGTACGCCCTGGGGACTGATCTTGTGGAGCAAAAAGAGTCATCCTGTGCCCAGAGAAAGGGCTTTGCCTTGCACACACCAGCTCAGCACCATAGCTGGTGCCTAGGTCCTTTTATTCAGGAAGCCAAAGCAATATTGCCCTCCACTGGTCCTGAAACTAGTTTAGCTGCTAATGTGAGTTGGACAGAATCGTTGTCAGTACCATCAGGGGCACTTTGAAACCAAGACTCGGATTCCTGAGACGTGTTGGTGTTGTTCCATCTGTACTAGGATCTCTTGCTTTTCAGCCTCAGCTGCAGCAGAGACAGTCATTATGAGTGGCGGTGGCATGACTGCACAGCAGGAGGGGTGTACGAGCAGTGTCACCTCCTGCGGGGACCGGTGCTCTGCGGGGGATTTTTGGTCGGGGGATCTGCTACTCAGCTTTCACTCAAAGCAGACAGAAACTTCACTCAGCGTGAGCTCTGGCATTGTCCACCATGAGCCGCCCTAGTGAATGGATTTGCTGTCGTCAAACTGATATTCCCATCAGGTGAAACCTGCAGGTCCACTAAACATTTCAGAGTTCTAAAGCTTGCAATATTATGTTGAAAACCCATGTTTTCAACTATTATGTCTGCTGATTCTCACTGCTGGCTGAGGAGGAGGCGAGAAGCCGTACTTACAAAACCTCTGGGCACACCCCGAAGGTGCCGGTGCTGGCTCCGAGGCACCCAACAAAGCCAGCGTCACTTGAATAACCCAGCCAAACACCAGCGTCCAACAGCTCTATGCTAACAGCAAGAGAGATTAAGTAATTCCTGTCGCGCTTCGAGGACCGTCCGAGGGCCGTGCAGGCAGCGCTGGCCTCCACAGGCTGCAGGTTTATTCCTCGGGAGTGTGGTGTGAAGGCGTGTGGCACCAGCAGGTTTCACCTGCGTGCTGGTGACACGGAGGAAGCGTGCCAGATGATAGGTATTTTTGGTACGGTGGGCAGCAGTGAATTGATTAAGAGTCCTGGCATTTGAGTGACCATAATTAGGCTTCCTGTGAACAGCCCTTTGAGATAAATAATAGAAATTCACACCTATCTGGATCCTGCATTTTTTCAGCCTATTTGGGGCAGGCTGCAATAAGGTGTGTAAATCTCCTTGAGCACCTTGGACACTCTGCAGTTGTCTTAAGGAGCTGTGGCAGTCGCTGGCTTGGCCTCCCTAGTTCAGTCTTTTAACCTGCTGTTCCCAGTGTCACCTCCATGAATAAAAATGTTCCTGGTTTGCAAGGCATGCTTCCCGGAAAATTACTCTTCTAAGGACCCACAAATCTTACTTCTGTCTGAGCATGGCTTGATACACCTAGAATAGCTGTCTGAAGTAAGTCCAAGACTGCTGTGGCTGGTTGAAGTTTGAAAGATTTTAATATCAATACACTTACTGTGACTTATCATTCGTAAGAAAAACTCTTTAATTTCCACCATCAGTTTCTTTCAATGAAGTTGGAAGAGGTGCACGAGAGCAGCTCGGATGCCAGAGAGGTTTCTTGCAGAGTTAAGGACTTAATTTTAGAATAATTTCCAGTAAGTCACCAGGAAAGATTAGGGGCTGAGGGTTTTTGCAGGATATTAAGAATGATATCGCCCCTTCCAGAGCTATCTGCAAATCCTGTGCTGCTGTGATAAATAACCCCACGGTTACCAAAAGACGGGGAGCAACCAATGTCCTTGCAAACTAGAAGGGGTCTGTTTTCCAGACAGCAAGGTAGCGAGAGCTACAGTTGTTGTTCTAATGCTGTTAATGGGCGACAGTATGCTAATTAGTCAGATTAACTAAGCGGGTGAGTCATGCACTAACCCTTCTTGAAAGAAAGTGCCCATTTTGAGATGCTAAATGAGAACATAAATGCAATCAGGCATAGAATTCTTGAAAGATAAGACGAGAGCAGACCTGCTTGTTAATGGAGCCAGTGAAATTAATTCTGCTTTGGAAAGGGGTGCACTTTTTCATATTCAGGTTCGTTTTAATGGGGAAGGGTTCAAAACCTTCAGATCTATACAATGCATTTCACTCATGTCTAAGTAGCTCTAATGACCTAACGTAACAAAGATATTTCTGATATTCTCTGCTACGTTTGCACCTTCAGAAATACCTTTTTTTTAATTAGAAGCATTCAGATGTTTCAAATGAAGACAAAACTATAATATTCTGAAAAAACACAAAGCCCTCTCATCTATAATTGATGGGAAGGTATTAAAAATGTTTATTGTGAATGCTCAAGCTCTTATACTGAAAAACTACAGGCTCCCCACATTTGAGAAGTTGGCATCGATGCTCACAGGCACCACCGATGTGGTCCTGCTGTGGTGCTGGGAGTCATCGCTGAGGGTGAGGAAAGGAGGGCTGGGTGCCCTTCTGTGGAGAAGATCTGCGCCATTTTTTGGTGTGTGCGTTCCCTTCCTTTCTCGGTGGCCACCCGCTATGTGCATGTCAGCCTATTTTAACCTTTTTCTCTTCACTCATAACGGTGTAGGCATCAAGGAAACGCAGAAGTGGTGCTAGCAGCTGTCGCACACCGTCTGGGATACGTTGGGTCCTGAGTTAAAGACAGCTCAGACAGCTGGGTGGCCCCAGCCTCCGGTCTGAAGTCCCGGTCAGCTTTCCAAGTGCCTGACGTGGCGAGAGGAGGAAGCACGGGGCCCGGCTCCCCGTGACTGTTCAACAATCACGCCTGCACGTGGTGTTCGCTTGTGGCAGCACCTCCAGCAGTCCTTTGAGCACCGTGGGGCTTGCAGATGCATGCCGCTGGGGATGAAAGCCACGTCTCCATGCTCGTGTGAGCCAGCGGGGAGGTCAGGCAGTGCTGCGAGGAGGGCTAGCACTGGGCAGAAGCTCTGAGGGAACGATGCCCGCAGGGGTTCTGTGGTCATCAGGACCTCGTGAAAAAATACAGGCCTTACCACGACTACCCTTGGGCGCTGAATTCACCATGAAAATATTCTGCCTCACACTTGTTTTTGAACATGCTCTGTCGACTCATCATTTGCCAGAACTAGTTTTTTTTCTTAAAGATTTCCGACCCTTCCGGTCTGATTTCAAGGCAGCTGCTTGGCAGTAGGACTGCTAGAAGTGCTGGCTCCAGTAGTCCACCTTCTTTTCTAACCCAAAGTTTTTCCAGTGCCACTGCAATGGCCACTGGTTTCCACCCCAAAGGTGTCTGCACTTAGATGACTGGTGAAGTGATCCCTATATATATTTGCAATTCTCTGAAGTGCCTTGAGGCTTGCAAAAGGCACTATATAAATCAATTAATAACAATATCAGAGGTCAGTCAGCCAATAAGAATACAATTTAGTTTAATGAGAGATAAATAAGACAGACAGAGTGAGAGGGGAAGGGAGCTAGAAGGCTCCCTACTTGGTGCCAGGCTCTAAATATGCCAGCTCCTCACTTTATCGCAGTGATCATCAGAAACACGGAAGATAATTGTGTCATTGTCATTTCTTAGTCCAGTGTAATATCTATTACTGGTTTTGATGTCTTACTCAGCTCTGTACCAGTATGATTTTAGGAAGAGTGTACATTATTTTCATGAAAACAAATATGAGCATGAGGAAGCATTTTTCCCTTGCGTGCAATTCCTACTAAAGAATTTACATTCTTCTAATTTACTGGTTTACTGCACCACTTAGTGCACTCCTGAGATGTGCAGAATGTCCTCGCAGTTAAGAATGTGCAGATGAAATTTACCCTTTTTGCACTGAATCACTCACTCTTCCCTTGGAAGTCACCATGCTCTTTCCTCCCTCTAAATCTCCTTTAACCGCTCTAATAAAAGAATAGATTATTCTGCATAGTTACAAAATGGATCCAAAACGGATGGTTGGCAGTTTATTTGGATTTTCGGGTAGCTATATATTTTTGTGACCAGTCTGGTACTAAACAGGTGAATGGAAAGACATTGTTTTACATTTGGTTCTTCCTGTTATATGGGACTGTGGATGTAGGAATGAAAATTCTCCATTGTAGCCCCAGACAAAAAGCTGGGCTACGTCACCCTCATCAAAGCAGTATTTGATAAGCTGCCAGAAGACGCAGAGGACATGGGGAGGTAACTCCGAGTGGGGTGGGACAGGGGATGGGGGAGGCCTGTGTAGCAAAACGAGGAGGTGTTTTGTGTTTGTCCCGCACCGGTACACAAGCTGCACAGCCTACCGCTGTGTCTGTGTG